TTCTAGGATAATTAATTCTGGCATCTTTACAGATTTCGTTTATAACATCTGCTTTGCTCATAATGCTTATTTAGGTTCCCAGCGAAATCTTTGATAACAAAAGTATTTTCCAGTGTTTTTATTCTCTTGGTTAAAACTACGAGAGAGTTGTTAATATTGGCAATGTCCTTTAATATATTCTCTTTGAATTGATCAATACAGAATTTGTTGGAGTCGATGGTTGATATAGATTTATTTGACGTGGACATAAGTTCAATATGTTCATGTAAAGATTTATTTCGGGATTGATTCACAAGTTGAATTTTTGTCTCATGAACAGTCATGATCAATGTTTTTTTTTATACTAATAATTTACATTAGGTCTTCTGCTATTTATTGTTTAATAACACCAGCTTCTTTTAATTCTTTAATAATTGACAAAATTTCATTATCATGATTAGTATTACCAGCCTGTTTTGATGCAATCAATAATTTTAGTCTATCTATTAATTCATTGGGATCGTCCCAGAATATGTAATCCGTGTTGCTTTTGTATGTCTTGTATTTCGGTATGTAACCACCACTTTTAATTTTGTTTAACGAAAATCTTTTTTTCTTGCTATTATGTTGTGAAAATAAAGGTTTTATTATTTGACGATATTTCAAACCTTTATCGCCCCTTATTTGACCACTGGGGCTATAGTTTCTTTTATGTGCACTCGTATAATGAAGTATGTCTTTATAGGTTATCTTATCTGTTTTGTTAATAACTTTAAGATTAGGTTTATTGCGAATTAAAAGTTCCTTTAAACCAGGTGTTAATTCATAGTGGCGACTACCAATGCTCACAATATTATTGGAATTCGAAGCATCGTCTGATAACGAAAACGATACTTTGGAATTCCCCATCATTAAATTCTTGTTTTCACTACGTATACCGAATGGTACATTTATATTTTTATCATACATGTCAGTAACTTCTTTTTGTAACGATGATGGTGTATCATTTACATTTTTTTCTTCACATGTAAAATCATAATTATCAGAACTTTCACTTGATCCTCTTTGTGCGTTCTTGCAGAATTTTTCATAATCTAAAGAAAAGTCTTGATCATCTATTGTTTCATGTTTACTCATGTCTATGGAAACATTTAGTGTTGGTTTATTTGAATTTACAATTTTACATTTAATTTTAATTTTAATTTTACATTACCTTTAATCATGGTCTCTAAGTTATCAGTGACAGGTTTAAATACCTTTTTTAAATTTTAAATTAGCTGCATCTTCTTCACTCTGCATTATTTTTATTTTATTTTTTATATTATCTACTGATTGAATTAGTTGCTTTTTGATTTCAGTATCCATTATAATCGACTGTTGTTTACTAATATTCAAAACCAAGTAACTTATTTTTAGGGATATCATTGTTATATACATTTTTATAAGCAGATAAATGTATCAAAACCCTGTCTATATCTTCCCTTACTTAAAGCACAATCTTTATTAATTGTTAAAAAACTAAATCTGTCCTGCCATATTGTTGTGCACAGCTTTATGAATTCCAACCACTCCATATCACTCGTTACATGTTCATTATAAATGTGTTTTAAATTAATGTCATCTTGTTTGAATAATATGAGAAAATTAACATTATCGCGTATTTATTGCTTAGGTATTTTAGAATAGGTTTGCGATAAGTAAAAACAATCTATTTGTTCATGTCTCCCCATAGCAAAAAAGTTGCGAATGTTGATTTGATTTTCGCATGCAACATCATCAAAAATAATTATTGATTTTTGTAATGCATCATTAGGTGAAATAACTTCTTCGCTATTATTAAAAACAAAAAGCTTTGTCTCTGGTACATGTTTTAAGACATGTCTTAAAAATATATATTTAGGTTGATAAGACGTTTTTGAATACAAATAAATATTTTTAAATTTCACCCCGTTTTTATGTATTAAGAGATTGATCATTAAATTTGTTTTCCCACAATTAGAAGGTCCACATATTATAGCTCGGATAGTATCAGGCAGAAGTATACTATGATTACTTATGTATATATTTTTTTCTGTTTTTATATTATTTATTTCTAAAGTGGAGAGTTGCTTGATGAACTTCATTTTTAAGTCTGGTGAAAAACAAAAAGTTACCAATCTTTTTATACCATATTATGCGCAATATATTAGAAGTCTTGGGATTCAAACATTTTAGAACTCGGATTAAAATGAAACCAATTAATCAATAATTATATACATTTTATTATACAGTTATAAATTAACATGATATGAATAATTCACAATTACTTTAAATAAGGTGTAGTATACAATCGTATAAGTATTACATTTATGTAATTAGAATATAGTGCGGCAATGCCCCCATGGTAACGAGTCAACATGATTATTTAAAATCTGTCGTTTATCTTCATATCTACATAACACAACTTTATTGACTTCCTGCGAATATAAAATATGATTGATAGATTTTATTGTATTTATTTTGCATTTAAATGTTTTATTACTATTTAATGCGCGATTATAATCTGATAATTTAAGTCTTTTAGTTATAGCTTTTGAAACTCCTTTGGCTTTATTTATATGGGTACTAACGCTATTTATACAATAAAGCTTTGCTCTCAATCCTATAAACTCAGTAATAATGTCACCACCGAGTTCATCTTTAAATAGTCCAGGAATTCTTGAATTCACTTGTGGTAATTTGTACGGGTTATCTTTTTTGAAATTGCTGGTATCATATGTTGTGGTAATATCATTTTTCATGTCCTCATATAAATCGTTAGTTTCTATAAGATAAAGTAAGCTATCAGTATCTGTATAACATAATTTTACTTTATTCTGATATTTCTTTTTCATAAAGTTGTAATGAAAAGAATATAAATGTTGTTTCGCGTATTCTAAAACAGTGAACCCAATGTATATGGGGCGATCTAAGACTAGGTTTTCAGGACTTAGCTGAATAGCTGCAAAATTCTCTGAAAATATAGATACACTACGTAAATTTGGTTTAGCTATTAACTTTTGTGCCTCCATGTGTTTGTTCGTTTTATTATTTTGATCGCACCAGGTTGTCACTAATTTTACACTCACTTTTTTTCGACGGTTTTCTATAGTTTTTCCAAAAACAGAGTTGTTTAAGAGTTTGAAAAAATCTTTTTCGAATGCCGATTTTGAATTTTGCCGTAATTTAGTGTTAAGATCAATATAATCAGACATAAAAGTTTCTTGCCTAAACATAAGCACACGATGATTTTTTTTTAATACTAAACCATTTTTTAAACATTCATTTAAATAAACGTAATGTATAACGTACTTATATATGTGATATAAATTAGCTATTAATTTTTTTGTTTTGCCCCCCTGGTGGAATGAATTTCTCGGGTGCAAAGGGTAAGTCACTATGATTATCATGTATGCTATCAGGATATTCTAAATCAACTTCCAAAATATAACCATACATAGAGTCGGGAGATACGTCGAAAATATTTAACTTATCTATTTCATTAACAGTGAGAAGTCTGAAATCGGAAATCGGCAACTTTTTAGTCATTGCAAATCCATATAAATTGTTACAATCCAGATATATTAAATAAGAAGATCGTTTGAAAACATCAAATTGTGGTGTATATTTATTATTCGCTACCGCATGTCGAAGGGAACACTGTGATAATCCACCGCGAATACCTCTTTCCAACATTTCGTATATCTCCAAATCGGAAATTAATTCAAGTTGTACTCTTGTATAAAGTAACATAGCATCCCAACTAAGACTAGGTGCTGATACATAATATGCAGGGTCAAGCATATAATGCGTTAAACATGTATTTCTAAATTTTTCAAATATATCAGTGAGTAATAAAACGTCAGTTTTTAAATACAAATCTGTGTAATCGCCTAAAGTTTTTAAGCCGAATGTAATCCATACATTTTGTGCATGAGTATATTCCAATTGACTTATATGTTCACATTTTAAACTATTATAAAAGCATTCTTTTGACGGGAGGTTAGTTTCCTCATATTTTGACCAACAGTCTACATAGTCATAAGGATATACACCTTTTTGTTGCAAAACCTTTATTTTATAGCTATCTTTAAATTCTTTCGTTAAGTTTACGAAGTCATTATCAGATAAGTTTTTGCAAAGAATTTCAATACTAGAGCTCAGAAATTGATAAGAGTCAATGAACTTTATTTGAACTGAACGTAAAGCTGATTTATACTTTATAAATGTTGTTATCGTTATATATTTTTCCTTTGATTTTGGGATTATATTGATATTTCCTTCGTATTTCGCTAGTTCTTTAATAAATAAGTGGCTATCATAGCCGCTAAGATTGTGAAATATTACAGGCACAAAGGGACATACTCTGTACATGAGATTGCAATGCGAGTGCGCTGCGCCTCTGTATTGTGAGGTAATATGATCATGGTCTTGCACTTTATCATCAAAAATAATTGATTACAGATATGACATGTAGTTGCTTTTTGAAACTGTATTTTCTCAGCTTTAGTTAAAGGCTTCATTGGTGAAGTATATGACAAAATAGTATTAATATTTTCAATATCTTTTATTAAATACTCTATAAATTTCTCTACACAGTTTCTTCCTCTGTATGTCACATATTTATTCAGTGATGTGTCAAAGCTACAGCAAATGTAATACCCGAAACAAGAAGCTTCATGTAATTTATATATCTGCGTGCTTTCTGTGTTTCTTTCATGATAATTCAATAAAATACTTTCAAAATCAGCATAAATTACAAAGTTAATCTTTTGCTTTCTTTCATAATGTTTAAACTGTAAAATACTCTTTTTGGGAGGTAATAGCGTTAATATTTTAGAACATGCGTGGGTATCAGATTGGGTAGAAATTTGCGAGATTATATAAACAAACCGCTATGATAATTTTCCTGGAATAATTATAATAAACATTGTGAACTGATTACTATATGATCTGAACTGTTAATAATTTGTAAGTATGTACAGAAAATAAGTAATTGATAACTAGTAGTAGTTGCTAATAAAGATGGATGGGCACTGCCTGTACTCCTTACGAGTAGAGGTTAAGAAATTTGATAGATGACGCCAGGCTTCCGAGTCATCGTTGGTGCGATTCTTCACTGTAATGATAGCCTGACGCCACCTGTTTACAGGTTGAATTCGTTCTATATCCTCACATCGGTACACTTTTAAGTCGATAAAATAATTGCCTGGTTTTCTATCATAAGCCTGCCGTGATTGACCATTCGCTAGGCGTCTGGATATATAAGAAACTATTGGTGCATTTTTACCGCTCAGTAGCTCTGTATTATCATCATCTTCACTATCTGTCCCGAAAAGCTCCTTAGCCGTACAGGTATTCTTCTTCTCGGGGATCGGCTTGAAGTTGGGCTTCTTCGATGAACCAGCTCTGGGTGTGCTAGCAGAAGCTGATGACTTTCGCTTGATCGCTTTCTTCGAAGTGTCATCAGTGATTTCTCCTTCAGAGGGAAATAAGTCGTCTGCATTTGCTTTTCCAGGATTCCTGAAACAGTCAATAAATTTAATATAAGTACACTGAAGTATTATATTATTGTTAGGGCACTTAATTTTATTTAAATATTTGAATAGTATTTACACTATATTTCTGGTAAGTATTTAAAAAGACACATATCTATTAAATCACCGCACTATTATAGCACTCAATCATTCAGCAATTATCATAATAATTAAATTTCTCGTAGTTCTATTCAAGAAAGTGAACAAATAAAATAAAATCACTATATTTTTTGGGTAAGTATTTAAGAAATATATCTATTAAATCATCTTACTATTATAGAAGTCGATCATTAAAAAAATCAATAGAATGCTAAATCAATTTATTGTACATACTATTCAACAAAGTAATTAAATAAAAAATTACTTACATTTTAGTAAATGGTTGTAGATTGCACTGTACAGGATCACACTTGGAGGAATAACTAGAAGCACCTGAATGTTCGTTAAGACCAGAATGAATACAACCAATGGCTACTGGGGGTTTAAATAGGATAAAAAATGATAACGTAGACAATTTTTTAATGAATCTAAATTAGGTATTGAGAAAAATTTGAGAAGTTGTTATGCTATCATAACAAAGCAAATCCCTGATGCGCCGGTTCCATTTTTGGACGTACATGTAAACATTCAGCTTACAATCTTTAAAGTCTGAACCTGCTCGTATACAAATTATATGCTACGGGTTTACTTGTTTTAATTAAATTTATAGTTTATATTTTGTAATAACTCATAAGATTTATTATTAAGGTAAAATATGCCTATTTAATTGATGAATAAAATACTGTTTCGTTTAAACAACATTAATAATATTGACTTAGCTGATTGTACTTGTTTACGTTACAGACAGATACATGTTATATTAAAATGCATGGCTTTTTTAGATGGTAACTATATTTACTCGTACATGCAGACCGCTCTACCATCTAGCGAGTGGTGCCTATAAGTCGCTCAGGTGTTAAGTTTCTTACTGTATGTGCATGTGTTAAAAGATTATTTTATTGATTCGTAAAAGAAAAGGTATATAAATAGAAGTCTGATTTAAAATATTATTTCACATTTTCACTATGGCGCAAGGAAGAAGCACATCTTACTCGCCTGCTTTTAACTTTGAGGTAAGTCAATTAGGTATTACACGTAATTTAAATAATCTTATTATTTTTTTTATATATCACTATTAAATTACCCTGACAATAAAAAATACTATTATATATAATATTAATTGTTTCAGGACTCCAATGATCTATTCACCGTACCATCATCATCGCCAGCACTCGCACAACGAGTTCGCAACTATTTTGAGAAAAGTGATAATGATAGCATGAAGCCTGCAAGTGGATCGAGTGTGTCTACAAGAAAACGAAGTAAAGAAAATATTGTATATTCGTTTATCAAAAAGCCGAAACGTAATAAAGCTGGCTCTTAAATTATACATGTGGAAATTTTTAACACCGATACGATGAAGGATTCGTCATCGATTTGCAATTGCAGTGCAGAGACTTGTATGCAGTACGTTGTAGAAAGTGATGAACTACACTTTGATAATATATATAAAAATACAAAAGACCTGATAAAGTTAATGACCAAAGCAATGGAGGAGTAATGTTTATTAGAAATACGTCTTATTAAATGGTAATGGGTCATAATTATAATTTTATTCGAATGCTGTGTTATTATGTTTAAAGAGCTTTCTATTAGCAATAAAATGTGTATAAAAACTTTCTTGTACATGTTTTTTTTTTTGTTTTTCACTCATATAGTCCCATAAACATGAAATGTGCACACCTTTTGTTCAGAATTCATCACTATTTGTGTAGATGCGCCTATAGATAGTTACCTACGTATAGATCATCAGCGCTCATAATATATAATAACGCGAGCGCACTATACTATTATCGTATTCCACCTCGAGTATAAAAAATGGTTATATAATAATAATAACAAATATTCATAAATTTCACTTTTATCCAACTAAAAAATAGAAACATTAGTTTTCGAATACAGTGATTTTATTACTTATAGAATGAATGCTTTATGATGATGATTGGGTAACCTGGATCTTTTTTTGATCCAGGTTACCCAATTATCATCTACTATCCATAATGACATTTGCCAATAATTTAAATTGTGTCGCGTTATCAGACATTATTGGTAGAGGTATACCCCTGCATGATACAAATCGTTTCAATGCCAGCAAACATTCTTCTGCAGTGAGATCCAATACCAGCTCTAAATGCACTGCCCTCACTAACAAAAAAAAGTAAATAGACATACCCATTTTTCTCTTGTTTACCATCTGTGACTGTATTGATTGGTCCAAAATAGTCCATTCCTGTAAAATCAAAAGCTCTATGATAATTAACTCTTTCGGGTGGGAGGGGCGGTGTCTCCGATAACTGGAATGGACCTCCTCCATGTCTGATGCACTGTTGGCATGATTTCAACACTTTCTTGACCTCAGATCGCCCCTTTGGTAGCCAATACTTTTTTCTGATTAATGCCAAAGTGTGGCCTACACCTACATGATAGTTCTTTTCGTGTATTTCTTTAATAATCTTTTCTGTAAATGCATTTTTTCTAGGAAGAAGTATCGGATGTACCGCATCATAGTCCCATCCGGTTCGTGTCATACGACCTTTACATCTTAATATTTTATTAACATCTATATATAAGTCTAGGTTTCTGCTTAAGTTAGTTTTCTTACCTATTATTTCGTCTGTAAAACATTCCTTCTGTATTTTCTTTAATGTTCTCCATTCGTTATCTATTTCCTCACTGTAATTCTCTTCTTGTTCTCCTCTATTTAGCTCTACTCGGCCTTCAAGAATAGAACTCAGATTGCTCTTTCTTTGTGAAAGACCCTCCGCCACGGCAAAAGCATGAGTCTCTAAGTCAGTCATCTTCTGATATTGAAACCATTTTGACTCTTCTTCTCTAAGAAATGTTGGCCCCTTCAGCCACATATCATTCCTTTCTGGTGAATTTATCCTAGTAGCTATACCGGCTCGGTTTTCTCTCGTCGATACATAGGAAAAGTTTACTCCTTGATGTTTCTTTATCTGAGCAATTCTGCGACTTACAAATGGAGGCAAGAGTTTATTTGACTTTAGACAGCAAAGTACAATGGTGCTGTCTGACCACAAAAACATCTTTTCAATCTTGATCTCTAAAGAATTAGTTACATAATTTAATAGTCTGCTTCCTATTAAACACCCCAAGAGTTCTAACTTTGGAATTTGCAGGTTTTCTTGGTCCTTTATTGGTACAAGTCTACTTTTAGACATTATAATGCTAATTGTCCTCTTTGCTCCTGTATTTTCTCGGATATATACTACAGCAGCATAACCGTGTTTTGATGCATCTGCAAAACAATGTAACTGGTAATTTGTTTTTAGCTTCCATAATTCCTTTTCTGTTTCTTTCTCTTGACTATTCATTTTTAAGCGCAAAGTGTCTTCTTTTAAGTACCATATCATTCCCAAGACATTCACATGGTGTTTATCCTTTCCTTATTTCTCTGTAGGTATACATTTCAAAACTCTTTATTATTTGTATTCCAATCACTTATGTTCATGGATATCTCAGTGAAGGCTTCTGTGGTTTCCTAATATAATTTTTCTGCTTCTCTTACATTTTTTTGCAGTAGTAACTAAGTTGTCTACATAGCATTTTTTTTAGCAATTTTATCCTCTAGTCCTCTTTTGGCCAAGTGATAATTTATAGTTGCAGAAAGTAAGAATGGACTTGATATGACCCCAAAGGGAACTCTACAAAATCTATAAAAAATTAGATTCTCAGGGTCTTTTGCGTCTTTGTTTAAATCTTTGATGCATATTAAATGTGTTACATCTCTATCTTCTTGTTTCAATCCGACTTGTAAAAAAGCTTTTTCTATGACTGCTATTATTCCTATTTTATCCTATCTGAAACTTATCAAAAGTCTAGTCAAATCTTCCAATAATAAGGGACCTTTATAAAAACACTCATTTAAACTATTATAACCTTTTAATTTAGCAGAGGCATCGCATACTATTCTCAACTTCTTTCCTTCCTGAGTTACTCCGTGACGGGATAAGTAGTGTACTGGGTGATGTGTTTTCTTTAATGGCTCCTTTACTATTTCTAAGATACCTTTTCTTACTTGATTTTGGAAGATGCTGTCATATTCTCTTAGTTGTTCAGGATTTAGCCGTTTCAACAAACTATTCAGTCTGCCTATAGCCAGCCCATATTTATCTGTCAATTCAGGTGGGTGGCATATCCAAGGCCATTAGACAAAGTATCTTCCATCTTTATAATAGATAGTTTTATTGAATTCATTTACTATTTCTTCATCTGATTCTTGTATACTCTTTGGTGGGTCCGTTATACCAATTGCTTCTAATTCCCATAACATCTTGATATCATCATCTTTAAGAGGTAAGTCAGGAGCTGTATATTTAATCTGTTCTATCTCACACGAGTTCATATATGTGAGTACTGATTGGGTTTCTTATAGCTCATGGTTCCAGACACAACTATCCCAAAGTTAGAATCAATGAGAAAAAGTCCATCTTGAATTTCCGTTACTTTATTATGCATAAATATATAGTAATAATCATTTAATATGTGTATCGTACATCTCTGCCAGCTGAACTATCATCTGCGAGAGTGTATTTTGACAAATTCACTTGTACATGCTCTGCTGGATAAGATATTCCATCAGTGATACGTGGCACAACATACACTATCATTTTAAATGTTTTATTTGACTTAGTTTTAAATTGTATTTCTGTTGTAAAATTGTCTATGTCTTTTGCCTGGTTATTACCAAAAGTATAAAGTAGAAGCTTTCTATCCTTTTCTAACTTAAGATTCAACTTTCTGGCAGTCTGTTTTGTAATATATGACCTTTCACTACCAGTGTCCAAGAGTGCTCGGCATGGCATCCCCTTAATATATATAATAACAGTCTGCAGCAATGTATCTCCTTGATCATTAGTATGCAATGTAATAGTTGGTCCCTTATTTGATGTTCCAGGAGTTTCACCAGAAACCACTTTAGTACAAATTGCCCTATTATGTGTTTTAGCCCCACAATGGACACATATTTTATTACATTTACAAGTCTTGGTTATGCTACATGGTTATTCTTAAAATAAATGAAACATCTTTTTCCAAGGTTTTCTTTCTATCATTAATAGATACAACATTTTTACATTCATCATTATAATGAGAGCCATTACAAAAAATGCATAACAACCGAGGCTTTATTTGTGTTTGCATTCATATTTTTACCACCTTTTCTCTTCAAAAGTACAGAAGATTTATCCGTGGCTCTACCTCTGTCTTCTGGATAACTCTTGTGTTGCTCTTTAACATGAAGACTTTCTGTTATGAAATAAGATGGTACAATTTCTTTCGGAACTGCTCCCACTTCTCTAACTTGTATAAGGTGGCCTATATGCTTTCTTATTTCAACAACAATTTCTCCCTCTGAATTCATACGGATTCTGAATTCTTTTATAATATCTTCAGGAATTTTTTCCATAATAATAATCTTTGCCGAACCGGTAAACTGATAAGTGTCAGCTGTTACGAGCTCCTACTCAAATTATCTTAAAAGTGCATATTCTGTGTTTTTTCTATCACAGTTTTATTCTTAACATCATATAAAGACATATTACTATCGTCGCGTGCATATAAGTGAAATTGTCTGGTGTTATTATCTAAACCATCGATGCGACTTTGTAACATCTTCGAGTGACATCTACCTACTACAATTTTATGCAAGAAGCCCCTGCAGGGGAATTCGACGTCTAAGCCCGTTGCATGTGTACAGTGTTAAGTGCGACATTTGCGTGCGTTGTACGTCCACACACTCATCGCTCCGTGTATTTGTCATCGGGCAAAGATCAAGCATCGTAGATACGCCATCCGTATTGATGTTACAGGGAAGTAATAACTACTCAGCAAATTATTTTGAACACGAATATTTTATAATTTCTTTATCAACAATGAATTGTATAGCATGTAAGAACAAGGTAAGCCGCAGTGAAGTTTTGGTTTGTATTGGTTGCAAGGGACACTACCATTACAAGTGCCTAAATATGAATCAGCAAACCTATGCAGTCGTCAAGGTTAATTGGTTGTGTCCGAATTGCACAAGTGTATCGAGGCGCCCCAAGGGAGACGAAACACCCACCCGACGGCAGTTCGAACAGCCACAAATGGATGCCGATATGTCCTGCGATGAGCTGAATACTCAACTTTTGGTGTGCTCAACCAGTCCCTTGCCCGTTACCGAACCTAGCATATCGGAGGTCCTTAAAGAAATAAGAGCGTTTCGAAGCGACTTCTCTTCAATGAATTCGAGCATCCAGGCCGTGACTACCGCAATACAAGAATTGAATAAGAAGTTCAGCGAAATGGAAACCCGATTTAGTAGTATCGAGGACAGAATAACTGAAACGGAGAGAAAAGCCTCTATTATACCGCAGATGAAGGTGGAGCTGGATCTCGCGAAACAAAAAATTACAACACTCGAACTAGAGAATCATAAACGAGATCAATATGCCCGTATGAACAATATAGAGATTTCTGGTATCCCTATCGGAGCCGGCGAGAACCTCCAAACCTTATTACATGTCATCAGCAATAAGGTCGGATATGCGCTAGATGATCGAGATATAGACGGCATTGTACGTGTTAAACGTTTCGAAGCTGGTGAAGTGTCTTCATCCGCCGAGTCAAGTGGTCCGCGTCCTCCTGCAATCGTTGTAAAATTTACACGCCGTCTCGCTAAAGACAAATTATTGGCTGCTGTGCGCTCGCGACGAGGTCTCACCACCACCGATATTAACCTTTCAGGCCCTAAACAAAATATTTATGTGTCTGATCACCTAACCCCTCAAAATAAGCTTTTATTAAAACGAGCCCGACAACTAAAGACAAGTCTAGGATACTCTTATCTATGGATAAGAGACTGTAAAATTTTAATGCGAAAGAATGAGAGATCCAAGGTCGAGATAATAAGTAATGAGTCTTGTCTATCAAAATTGAAATGACTAAATTGTTACAAAAAATGCTTTAATTCATATTTGACCCGTCTCTTTTACGTAGCCTTTACAAACTTCTATTATAAACAACAGGTTGTTCAAAGTCTAAACATTGCGACGTCAGATGTGGCGAACTTGTTTATACAAAATCTTCAGTATCTCTCAAATTATTTGATTATTTGCTGCTTTTCGCGATATGTATCTCTCTCAAACTTTAAAATCAAAGCGAATAACACTATATCATTACAATATTGTATGTATAATTTGTTTAACTCACATTAATGGGGCCTACAAAAAAAACATTATTATGCTATTACCAGAACGTAAGGGGCTTGCGAACAAAATCGCACGATTTTCTGTCACAGTTGACTGCATCTGACTACGATTTGGTATGTTTAACGGAAAGCTGGCTAACTCCTGATTTCTATGACGGAGAATATTTCGATAGCAGGTATGCCGTATTTAGGTGTGACCGCTCGCAAGTTGAGAGCGGCGCTAGGCGCGGTGGCGGCGTCGCAGTCGCGGTGCGCACTAACCTAAGACCGCTGCGCAGAGACTGGCAAATCCCGCCGCGCGCCTTCTCTGACTGTGTATGGGTATCTATACCGTTGAATGCAAATAGTAGCAAACACATAAACATTGCGTGTGTTTACATACCGCACGGTCCCGGTTATCGCGATGCGTTGGAATCGTTTTTCACTTTATCAAGTGAAATCTTGAATGACCGTCCAAACGATGATTATTTGTTAATTGGCGATTTTAATATTTCAAATGCGGTATGGAAGGACAGTCATACTCACTGTAAAATGCTTCAAAACGGTGGTGACATACCGGTCGGAATGCTGAGAGACTTTTTGGCTTATACAGGTGTACAGCAATACAATGGAATTTCAAATGCTAGCGATCGAATCCTGGACTTGGTGTTGAGTAACGTTGAGTGCAGTGTCGTCAGTTGTGTCCGTCCTTTGACTCAGGAAGATTCACATCACAAATCTATAGAATTTAGTATTGATATCAATGACTTCACTAGGTTAAGGTCAACGGCAATTCATAGTTACAATTTCTTTAAGGCAGATTATCAGTCAATTAATTACGAGCTCAATAAAATAAATTGGAAACAATTTTTTGACAAATTAAACACACAAGAATGTGTTACTAAGTTTTACTCACTATTAAACAATTTAATAACTAAATATGTCCCTTATAAAATGATCAAATCTAATGCAGCTTGTCCCATATGGTTCACTAAACCACTTAAAAAGCTATTAAATGAAAAAAGAAAATACTTTAAGCTATGGAAACTGTACGGAAATCCATTAGATTATCAAACTTTTCAATTATTAAGAAAAAGAGCGAAGCATATGGAGAATGAGTGCTATAAAAATTATGTAAACTATTCAGAAAATAAAATTAGATCTTTTCCGAAATATTTTTGGACCTTTGTAAAGGCTATTAAACGCAAAAATACAATACCAGACTTTATGAATTATAAGGGACGGAGCAGTAATAATGGTAGGGAGATTTGTGATTTGTTTAGTGAACATTTTCACTCTGTTTTTGTTAGTGGCGGGGATGAGATTGTCTCGACAGAATTTACGAACTCACCATTGAGTGCATTATTTGACATTGCCACCATAGACTTATCTTTCACTTCACTAAATAAATATCTGAAAAATATTAATATTAACAAGGGAGCCGGCCCGGATAGCATTCATCCACTACTCATTCAAAAGTGTGCCGACACATTGACTGATCCCTTATTGTATATCTTCAATCTGTCTTTCAGTACCGGTGTCGTACCACATGAATGGAAACGCGCACTGATAACACCAATACCTAAAGGTTCCGTTAGTAATGATGTGGTCGACTACCGACCCATTTCAAAGCTGTGTCAATTTGGAAAAATACAAGAAAAAATTGTCACTGACCAGCTACTTGATACTGTCAAACGTATGATTGCACCAACACAGCATGGTTTTTGTAAGAAGCGTGGTGTAGAGAGCAATCTGCTGAGCTTTACGGAAATCTTATTGGAGGCAATGGATGGTAATGCTCAAGTTGATGTTATTTATACAGACTTTGCTAAATGTTTCGATAAAATCTGCCATAATACTCTACTAACTAAACTTTGGCAGCTTGGAATTCACGGAGATTTGTTCCGCTGGATAAAATCGTACATACTAAATCGTAGTCAGGCTGTAGTTTTGCCAGGTTATACTTCTACATACAAGGACGTAACATCGGGAGTTCCGCAAGGCTCACATTTGGGCCCATTACTATTTCTTTTATATGTTAATGACATCACAAAACTCATGAAGGATTCCCATATACTCCTTTATGCTGATGATACCAAAATTTTTAGAGTAATACGAGAAGCACAAGATTCTGTACTACTACAGAATGACCTTAATAAATTCGAAATTTTTTGTAATACAAATAACCTGTTTCTGAATGCTGATAAGTGTCATATAATTACATTTACTAGAAAAAAACAGCCAATAAAATTCTCGTATAAATTGTGCGGAAAGATTCTTGATCGTGTTACAGAAGTGAGGGATCTGGGAGTGGTAATGGACTCCAAACTGACATTTGTACCACACATTGATAGAGTTGTAAATAAATCTTTTAAATTATTAGGCTTTATCTTGCGTATGGGTAAACCTTTTCAAAATTCTTCCACATATAAGTTACTATTTAACAGTTATGTACGTAGCAGACTTGAATTCGCAAGCCCTGTCTGGAATCCCCGTCAACGCATACATCAGGATAAAATCGAAAGGGTGCAACGGAAATTTATTAAATCATTAGACTACAGAACAAATAATCAACACATAAACTATGAGACCTCTCTCGTCTTTCATAATATAATGTCTTTGAAGCAGCGTAGAGATCTCATAGATATAAACTATTTGTATAAACTCTTACATGATATGGTCGATGCACCTTTTCTTCTGGAAAAATTATCTTTTCGGGTACCCAGGAAACAGGAGAGAGCAAATCGTAAAAAGGCATTATTCGCTTACAAAGCAAGTAAAACTAACTATGGAAGTAACAATTACATAAAAAGAGCTTGTACTCTATACGATGATACATTCAGTGAAATTGATATTTTTGAGACATCCATAGTTAAATTCAAGCGCCACATCGTAGATCGCTTGAAATGTTTGGACGTGTAGAATAGACCAATTACTAAATTCACTATTGAGTAGACATAAAAAGAATTGCAACCGCTGTAATATTAAATTATGTATACCTTCTGTAAAATATATCTTATACTAATTTTGATGCCGCCATTGTTTCTCCTTGGTGCTGCCTCTATCTCCCTGGACTGCATTATGTCAGATCTGCAAACAAATTTTTGTATATACTACCTTTATATATCAGGATGCTCATGTTTTATATGGTATAAAATAGTGATTTCATTCATAGCCGTGAAAGAATTTACCTT